AATAAGAAAAAAAAACAGCATTGATAAAGATAAAGAGGAGAGAGATTCTTCTTCTTAAAGCTCCGTATAGTATACAGGCAGATGTCCATGTGTAGTTTGATTATAGATCAGGTCTAGGCTCTATATTAATACTGTGAAAGTATCAAAGCCTCAGTCCACAGAGAAATGCACACAGCCTGTATTCAGAAACTGAGCATTCAAACCAGCCGTAAGGACTTCTGTCACTTTGTGATGTCACAACAAAGCAGTCACCACCCTCAGCCACGCCCCAAGCCCCACCCACCTGGACCGACCATCCAACCTTGCAAGATTTGGTTTCTCTGAGTGTTTACCCGAAATCTGCTATATTTTTTATCTGATCACTCTAAAAACAGACAGCCAATCAGAAGAGTTTGGCTGACCTGTTGTTACTAGAGCTCCAGAGAGAAGCCTGAAAGAGGAGATGTAAAAGTACATTGAGATGGTTTTTGGTTCTTAAAACCACAAATATATCTTCTTATGTATCAACACTTCAAAATAAAACACAGGAAAAGAGGAAAATATGGAGCTTTAAAGCAGGGATATTCAGCATAAAAGTTTAACCTGACTCTACTTTTGCTGCAATGAACGCAAAATCACAGTCACTTTGTCACTTTTCTGATGCAGGAAATAAACAAACATTGATCAGAGCAAGCAATCAGATATCGACATAGAGTGATAAAACACACTAGAATAATAACCTCTCTATTTCCAAACACGACTGTTTCTATTAGAGCAATTCCACTCAGTCAAAGCTGAACAACTCTGACTTGCAATGTCTGGGGATTTGCAGCGAAACAGGAAACGCATGCTTGAATTTCTCCTTGGTTTGGGCTTCAATAGAAGTCAATGGAAGACTTGATAACTTTCCAGAGTTGTAAAATTCTGCCTGTGAGTTTTGACATCTGATAAGTGTTTAAACACACTCTGCTACTCCAACTGGACTAACTGATTTTATTTCATTGTCTCACTGGTACCTTAAACAACAAGCCTCCCACAAAAGCAACCTGTTTTTCTAAATCTCTGCTTACACATGCTAGCCTTGTAATAATTAGAATTAATCAATTTTATAAGACATATTTGCAATGAAATTTCATCTTTAAATGGAACACACATTAGCCTATTTTAACCAGGAAATGTCTACAACAGCAATTGTAAAAGCTTTCATGAACTGAACATAGGCTTTTACTGGAAATACACAATACCAAATATAAATATATATTTGTATGAAAATGTTTTAAAATAGTATTTAAACAGCCCCCTTCAAATCTGTAATCCATCAGTAATAGGGAGAATCCTGACGCCAAGGCTAAAAACCTTATTGTCTGCCAACACAGCCTCTTAAATTTCACAGGACCTGTGGGATGAGCCAGTGAAAAAGAAACCAGCCCTGTGCTCTGTGTCACCCAGAATAAATTTGTAACAACTTGATCATAAAGACACCCTCACATGGAGAGAGGGAATAGCTCAACAAAGTGAACTCAGGAGAGATTAAGAGGTTAGTCTAGGTTATAGAAACAGTGTGATGGATTCCACTGTACAGCAATAAAGACACGTCACTGTAAAAAATGGATCATGCAAAACTAGCTAAGCTGAGTAAATCCTCTCAGAGCCAGTGCAAAGTACCTTGGTGTGATAGTTTGAGCTGCACAGTAGATGTTCATTGTAGAGTCTCACCTTTCTATGTTCCTGTAGATTCAGAGAGGAGGAGCATTTTCTGTTGCATATGGTGCATGTGAGTTTCTGCCGTGAGCTCCCTGTAAAAGAAAGAGAACTAGAGGAAAATTACCACGCCTGGACTACAGCACTGACGAGTGTGACAATCACGACAACAATTTCATTACAATCATCACACAGAAAAAACATTACAAGTTTCACAGGACAAAGATTCTCTTCATCATAGACTCAGTGATCATACCGTCCTAGGATTTTGGGACCCTTCCCTTGAATCATACGACCCACATCTGTTGCGGCTGAGCCACTTCCCCCCTCGCCCACACACACACTTACACGCATACACCACTTGTCCTAACTACACTGGTAAAACATAAAGGCCCAGATCTCTCGTCCACCAGCCTCTGAGATGAATGTCTTAATCTCGGGTTGATACTCGATTCATGTGTAAGGCTGCTCAGATCCCCACTGCCCTACATCCCATCATAAATAGCTATGGAAGTCCAATTATCTGAAAGAGCGAGCAGCCCCAGAACACACAGGTCAGCAATTATGGAGCGCAAGTAATTAGAGATGTGTCTCAATATTGCAGAGATTTTAACTTGATCGAGGTCAAGTACTGTTACTGCAGCTCCTCGAGTGCTGAGGCTGCTAATGGACAATTAACTTCATTAGATGATGTTATGCAAAAAGGGAAGGGAAATGCATGAGAATATGTGGATAGAAAGAGGGAAAGAATCACAGAGAGATGCAGACGCCAACCTGTGTGAACATTTCCTTTATGCTTCTTCAGCGCGTCCTTGCTCTTGAATCTTTTACCACAGCTCTCTGCTTTACAGATGAACCTAGCATCTCCTTTACAGGCTTCCTTATGCTGTTCAAAACTGTACATGCAGGATACAGAGGAAGAAGAAAACAGAGGGAGAGCTTTATGAGTTACAGAGTAATGTTATAAGAATTTTTGATGGTCAAATTAGTGTCGTTTAGGAATATTGTACAGTATACAGGTTATAAATGTATGCTACCTGGATTCTGAGCTGAATGTGTTGTGGCACAAGGAGCACTGATGAGCTTTTGAGTCAGCTGATGGGTCCAGTGACTCAGAACAATGCAAAACACTGAGGAAGGATTCAAAACAAAAACAAATTAGGCACCAAGTAGGAAATGAAACTAAATTGTCAAGATCAGATACGCAGGACAGATTCATTTGAATGAGATGAGAAGATTGATACCGCTCTCATATCTGTTCTGTAAAAGCTACAGCAAGTTAGCTGGTTAGCTTAGCTTAGCATAAAGACTGGAAACAGAGCTAAACAGCTAGCCTGGCTCTGCGCAAAGTTAATCTTGTTTGTTCAATACGAACAAACACTGAAGTGACCATGAAAATTTGCGGGTTCATGGGAGGTTATGTGTCGACTATTTCTTGGCCGAGCATCTCCAATAGTCGTGTTGACGACAAACAAACATGTTTATTAGTTAGAGCTGCTAGTAGACACAGAGCTAATCTAACTGGCTGCAGCCCCCAGCTTCACAATGAACAGACTGGTATGGGAGTAGTATCAATCTCCTCATATAATTCTCAGAAAGAGGGAACAGGAACAAGAAGTCAGACTGCAACTCATTTCTATTCATTCTGAATTAATAAAAGCATTTGTTTCTTTTTATCAGAAGCAAACACAGGAATATAGTTAAAAACTTCTTTTTTATCTTAACTCTCTTAACTCATTATCTAAGATCTAAATTTATACTGAACTGATTTACTACTTTCTCAGACTTTTTAATAACCAGAGTTTTTAGCTTTTAGAGAAAAAAATGAAAGTAAGATTAAACAGTTCCACTGCCAGTTAAAGAGTGGAGCAGTGAACCCACTGGCGCTGCAGAGCCTGTTTGATGGGGAACTTCTTGCCACAGTTTCTGCATTTGAACTCCTTCTCCTCGGTGCTGGGCCTCTGGTGCAGACTCTGGAGGTGGGCGGCCAGGATCTCCTCACTGGGAAAACTGCTCTCACACAGCAAGCAGGGGTGGTCCTCCTTCTTTGTTGCCAGCTCTGTAGAGACGTGGTGCACACACAGAGAGCATGTGAAGTCACACAGCACAGATCTAAAAGGTAACTATATCGCCTGTGTCTTTAAGTATTAGATATAATTGTGATTTCATAACATTCAAATGAGGAAACATAATTTCACTGTACCCATTTCAACAAGATGCTTGTTGTCTTTACTGTTTTCATCCTCATCTTTGATGATCTCCTCCTCCTCCTCCTCCTCCTCTTCCTCCATATCACTGTCCAGGTAGCCTATTAGGAGCTCTGTGTCTGTCTCTATGTCATCCACAGCCAGGTAGAAGATGTTTTCTCCATCCTAAGAGATAACAACATGGCTGATGTTAAGTAATCGCACAATGCTAACGATGCCACGGAGCACTGGCAGAGCTGCACCTCACAAATTTGAGAGGAATGTGGCTAATGAGAAAAGTATTCTTGCTAAAATACAGCTATTACTATTTATGGCAATGCACAGTGAGTAACTGAAGGTTGAACTCATTACACCCAGACAACAGTCTGTTATGACCTGATTGAGGCCACAGGTCAAAAGCTCAAACCCTTAAAAATGTTGTCATTAACTCCCCTGTCCTTAAAGGTCACGCTAATAAAATCAAACCGTCATTTTGTTTTAACTATGGGATTCTAAATGTACATAAATAATGATTAACAAGAGGAAAGCTGCACAATAAATGTCAGTGTTGATGGAACACAGAGCTTTAACCCACATAGACGACCTTTAAACGACCAATCACTTTGTGTATTAATGGAGGAACTTGGCCCCACAACCTGAAACGTTCATCTTTTCTTCATTCCACTTCTATTTTTCTTCCACCGTGACAGAACTATTTTTTTTTTATCTTTTGCACAAGCAAGAGGTGAAATTACCCAGAGCCAATGCAATGTGGTTGTTTTCACATGTGTGTGTGAATGTGTGTTTGTATGCTTTAAGAGATTCTTCACATTTTTCTGGTATTTGTAGTTCTGGCTACTGTTGTTGATGCATTATTTGTCAATATGATAACTCTTAAAACGTACTTGGAGTGTTTGGAGAAAACTAATTAACAAAAAAGGATCTAGAGGCAACAGTTCCTGAAGGATTAACAATCACAAAAACGTACATATAAACTCCTTTACAAAGGTAAAGCGCTGCTAAAAGAAAAACCAAAGCTTTATGCAATTCTAAATGTATCTATTGTTAATTGTCTTTGTTTGACTATTTGTAGCTTGTTGTGCTGTTGTTGCCTTTTTTCAGACCGTACATCTGTATCTTTTACATAATAGCAGATTGTAGAAATGTAGATAATTGTAGGATATTATCATTTGTTTTGTCTGTTTGTTTTGTGTTGTTTTTGCTGTTGCTGTTGTCTCTTCTTAGACTATACATCACCATCAATGCATTTCAATATAGTATTTTGCTCTACTTTCATATCTGTAGTGTATTCCAGTTTTATGATAATAAAAATTGACTGTTTTATTCACACTGTACATGTAAAAGCCCAATTAGGGACAAGAGCTGAAAATTAACAATAGCTATAAACTCTCTGTGCATCACATCAGTTTCATGCTTTGTTTTGGAACTATATTAAATTGCATTGTCGCTACTAAATAAATAAATAACCAAAAAACAATCCTCCGCATAATCCCAATAAATGTATGCCTCCTAAATATACTGAGATAAATACACATACCAGAAAAAAATATGTTCTCTCCTTGTCCAATTTGACTTTGAATTCATACTAATTTACAAAATGGTTCAGACATCTGGACAAATAGACCTGAAGTCAAACTGACATGTTTTGCAGAGTAAATGAACAACATGCATCCTTTTAAGTTATTTACGTTGTAGAAATAAAGAATTCCTTCACATTTCATATCATATCGTAACATATAATCTGTAAAAGGTCGTACAGAACAAACACAGAAAAAAATGCCTTTTTTTTTTACCTGTGCTACTGTAAAAAAAGTGAGATTTCATTATCTGTTCAGTTTAAAGTTTAGAAGATTTAACTAAATTCCAACATCTTCTACCCACAAAAGTCAAAAATATTTCTCTTTGAGGTCTCTTTACAGCCATATTTTAAAAATAATAGCAATTAGTTGGTCCCCCCAGATGCATTTTGCCTGTAAAATGTATCAGTCTCTGATGTATCAGACTTCTTCTAAGCAAGTGTGAGGGATTCATTGTCCACTGAGAGGAAATATACCTGAATGGCTGCCAAATTCTTCTGCTCTTGCGAAGGCGCCTGATGGACAAACCGCAGCCAGTTGGCATAGCGTGGGTTACTCGCATCCAGAATATACAGCACATCTCCTTTACTACCACGGACCTGGAGGGAAAAAAAAACAATGACCGCATGAGTTGTCAGAAGTGAACGATTGATTCTTCTTCTTCCCTTGTTGCTTTCATGGTTTGTCTTCTGTTCATCAAAGTATGTTTGGCCTTACATATGAACACCTTCTCATGTGCACAGGTCTGTACCTCACAATGTGGGAGCTACAGATAACTACATCACAGCATCTGTTTTAGAGTTTACTATCAATGGCTCCCTCACAACATGAGTCACTTTAAATCGGCCAGTGTGGTTAATTGATCTGCAACATCATTCATTGTTTTCTCTATCACAGAAAATGGAGAATACATTTGGACACACATGCAAGCAGCTGTCCTGTGATAAAGGATGTGTTTAGCGCTGCAATACAAGTTGCAACAAGAAAGAAGAATACTTAATCTGCTAATCAACATCATACATAGTTCATACATGAAAGGTTAGTGTAATGAGAATGATTTGTGTCTTTCATCTAAAAAATAACATAAAGACAAACTTGATTTAAACTCATTTTAACCACTTGTACTTTTAAAACCTGAAACCTTCACATGTGTACAGTGCTGCAGAAACAAGGCAGGATGTGTGTGCATTCACCTCCCACATCAGCCTGGTGTCGGAACTTTCATCCAGCTCACTAGGCAGCTTTTTCTCACCTGCAAAGGGACCAAACTTTTCTCCCTTTAAAACAAACAGAGGGTTCACTTGTCATAACATGATGCGACTGTTAAACAAGCTAGCAGCCAAAATTAATTATATTAAAACATTATATTTATCCCAGTGGAAGGTCCAAACTGTGATTTCTGCACTGTGGATGGCTGGTGGGTAGGCCTATACTCTTTTATGTGACATGTGAACACATCCCTCACTATAGGACCATTTTTCTTTTTGACTTTCCAGGAGTGCCAAAAATACAGGGGGCGTGGTCAAAATGTTGTGTTCATGTTCATCCTCAACATGTTTTAGTACGGTGCCACAGATTTAAATGACAATAGTCTCCTGAATGTGAACATGTCTCCACTGATACCTGAGCCCATTCATCCCCTGGAACATGTCACACAGCTGCCTATGACCTCTCTGTGTAGCTGATAGCGGTGGGAAAATGCCTTCGTTTTTTTTTTTTTAAATGTCTTTTAAAAAATCGCGAGCTTTAAGCTGGATGTAATCGTCATGTATAGAATGTGTTCACGAGACAGGCGCGCGACCCTTATTTGAATACATTGTTGAGCAGTGACCGAGAGAAACAACTGGAGCTACTGCAGCTACGTGGCACTTCACGTCAGAGGAGCCTTGGGTCGAGACTGAGACTTTGACAGCGACTATAAGGAAGAAGGCGAACAGAAAACGTTTCTACAACGACTAGAAATATCTGAAAACTAACACTAGACGTTTCCCGCGTGTAAACTCGGTTACAAAGTTGCCCAGCCAGAAACAAACAAACCTTTTTCACTCGCCTCGCCGTGTAAAGACCGATTCCATCCTGGACCTTTGACGATTTCAGGGAAAATCTGTCTGGCACATACATGCCCAACATTGTCATTACTCGGAAACGTTTCCTTCAATGACAATGAGTTGGCTATCAGATGTGTCAGCGGGAGGGAATTAGCATTGTCAGTTTGAATTTAGAGCAGATAGTTTCTTCGTGGAACGGTCCAGGTTGAACTTCTGTTGCTCCTGCTGCAGCAAAGTAGAGCGGCGTCCTGATTGGTCCAAAGTTTGTAACCAGAAGCTACCTTTTCTGTCGTGCAACACTCCAGCCTGTGTTTCATTCAGGCTGCTCTCTCAGCCTGTACAGAGGGGAAGAAACACTGACATGGTAGTTGTAGTGTAGTAATAGTAGCAAAACGTGTGGTCCCTACAAACTGTACACGCAAACACCGGATCTTAATAACTCAGTAATTAACAATTATGGGTCAAATTTCCACTTCAACACATATTTGTATCAAAGAAGCCTTTACCTGACAAGGCTGAGCTATTGGATTTGATTTTGTTGGGTGGCTAAGATGTCTTTAAATTCTGTGAGCCTAAATAATATACATTTACAATGTCAGCATCAGTGAGTAACTGGCTTAAAATGAGTGAAAATATATAGGAATTTGATATTGTATGGCCACCTGATTGGCCAGTCATGTAAGTAACAGTACTATGAAGATAAACAGATAAATAGATATTTTTTGGAGTTATTCCCATTGGCATACATTACACATACGTTATACATATTATATATACATTGCTATTTGAAGGTTCAAATGCACTTTTTGTTTGTCCTTATGGTTGAAAATGGATGCTCCAGTTTGATAGTCATTGCAAAAACAGATCCATTGATTATGTGTAATACTTTTCCTGCTTATCTTGTCACTACAACTACAGATTCTACAGAAAAAAGTCATATCATGGTCCACAGTAAACGCTCCCACTGACCCTCTTTTCCACTGTTAGTTAGCCTACCATTTATTTCTGATTGTGTATCTCATTGTGTTAATGTTTGGACTGATGCTATAGATGTTTATGGACCTCTAGTTATTCTTTTTGGGGGTTTTAGGTATTAGATTAAGTATTAGGATTTAGGTACATGCAGTGACTTGGCCCCTATTCACAAGCTTCTGAAGCTTATTGGGGTGTCCCATTTGTTTCCACATGTTTCCATGTGCTTTTACTTGTATTTTCTTCTGATTTGTGTGAAATAAAATTTCAAATTGTTCTGAGAAACACTCACTGTCATTTTCCTCATTCACCACTAATCTCCAAAACTTCAGAATATTTTGTGTTTTGGCTCAAACTTGTCCAACTACTTAGAAACCACCATACCAGCGAGCAGCAGAGCAGAGTTCTGACTGACCCTTCCAGCTTGAAACGGTCCGCTCCGCAGGCCAGAAACCACAATTTACCAACAATAAAGGGCTGCTGGAACAGATGGATCCTCTGGCCTGGAGCCAGCTGCTGCACAACCATCTAAACCAAACCCTCCAGGCTGAACCTTAAATCAAGGCAGACGTACATGTAAATAAAAACAAACCAGGAGGTAGACAGTGTATCTGTACCCAGTGATGAAGCTTGGTACCACGTTTATTATATTTGTTTAGATGCTCAAATTTCGAAAAAGCGGTCAGTATTTCATAATCTCAGACCCATCAAAACTTTGTTTGATATAATTTCACAAAGAGCAGTGTTGTGTCTATTTAATTCATATCTTGTTAATTTTACAGTTGTATAAAATGCACATGTTGAGGTTACATTTAAGTGTCTGAATTTTTAGATTTCTGAGGGTTAATATTCCACAGGAACAACTTTACTAAATATGTGTAATGTGTGTAACAAATAGGCAGAGAAAATATAATATGAAATTATTGGTCAGATTGCCATATTAGTTCTGTTTCTTTATCCACAACAAGTCCTTGTAGAACAAGTAAAAACTTGATTGTTTAGAGAGGGAAAACATGAAATTTCAGAAGAACAGTATCCAGAGTGAAGCCAGATGACTAACTGTTTACATTAAATGCTTCAGCAGTGGATGTGGTTTCACCGGAACTATTTGCATATATTTGTGTCAAAATGCTGAAACCATCAGGACATCAGGAGACCTCACATTATATGTTTTTTTTTCTCCATTTACCTTGATTTGTTGACTTTCACCCTGCACAGAGAGATTAGCATTATCTCTAATCACTGACTGTTTGTGTGTATCTGCTTTTGGACACCTCTTCAGCGAACGTGTTCCCCCTTTAATCAGCAGTGTGTCACTGTTATGTTGCTTTTGTTTATGGTGTTTATAGCTGGTGTTTATGCCAGTGGCTTCCTGTTGTGCTGGGGCTCTATGCCGAACCACTTCAAGATTAGTCCAGACAGCCAGCTTTGGTTGACAATTACGGCAAAGACTGAATCATGATGTGCATGTTTAGCTCAGAGTCAATGAGCTGGTGTATCAAGTGTTTCTGTCAGACTTTCCTGACCGCTGTTTTTAAAAGGTCTACACTTCAAAACCCCCCCTCACAGATCACTGTTGTAGTTGAGATGGTGTCATCAGTGGCCAGGAGTCATATTCCAGGTGTATTTGAGTTAAGCCATGAGAGAGGGTTACAGGGAGACTGACAAGCCTGATCACTGCACTGAGAGGGTCTCTGTGTGTGTTCACCCCACCCATGTCCTTCTTGGTCCATTTCGGTCTCCCCTGACCTCTCTGTCAGAGCCTTGGCCTGTCGGGGCAGGATGATTAAATGTCATGACCCCTTTTTTTCCTCTCTGCCCTCTGAGGACCCTCCAACCCATTAACTTTCACTCAGCTTTCACTAAGATCCCTGGGTTATCCAGACCAGCTCTGATCTCCAACACCTGCACAGAAGACACAGACACACACACACACACACACAGGACTCATCTCCAAAACCAGGGAAACCAACACAAGGCAAGATGATGATCCAGATTTGGCCATTTTAAGATCATGGAGAATCCCTGCTGGTCTGCACAGATAACTAGTGGTCTTTGGTGGTCTGAGGAGGATTTAGAACTGATTCTGTAGTTCAAGCTGGTGGCTTTGTGAAGCTGTACTTACTGTAGGGACAGTGGCACTTTGAACTAACTGTTAACATCAGCATAGCAACATGCTCACAGTGACAATGCTAGCACGCTGAAAGCAAAGCAGGTATAATGTTGAAAATAATTAATCTTGTGTGTTAGCATGCTAATACTTGCTCAGTGGCAGTGTACACTAATCACAGCTGAGGATGATGAGAATGTTGTAAGTTTTGCAGAAATTTTGGCCATAAACCAAAAAAATATAGACATTTTGACATGATGGTCACACTAGATAAAACGTTTATTTGACAGGAGCTTGTGTGTGAGTGATGAGCTGCTGTGGACGGAGCCATCCGCAAAAATGTGTTTTAACCACTTAAAAAATACCCAAAGAAAAAAGCCATTATCAGTACAAGTGTATGCTTTATTTTGAAAAATTCCAACACTTTATCTTGCCGTAAAACGGCCCTTTCCTTTACAACCACATATTTTCAACTGGGAATCCATCCGAAAGTCAAAACCACAGTGTGAACCTCATGGTGGCGCTATAAGAAAAGTCAGGGGATCAACAAAGTCAGTCAGATTAATCTCTGAGTACCATGAATGTCTGTGTAAAATTTCATAGTAATCCATTGTTGCTTCCATAGTCTTATAGACTGACAATACCATCCACAGAGCCATGCAGCCATTGTGGCTAAAATCTCTTCCAGACATGCAGTAATACCCACAGACACCAATGAACAGCATCTCCAGCTCTTTTACTGTCTGGTTATTCTTCTTTCACCATTTCTCACTAACACAGACTTATCTGAGTGAAAGAAGCTTTCCATGACTCGTCTTACAAAGTGATGACAAAGCCACCGCATGCACAAACCAGCACCAGCAGACAATGACGCATTGTGGACTCAAAAATCTATCGTGATAAAGATTTTTCTTTAAGACATTTGGATCATCATCCCCACAGGAGCGTGACTTTGAACCTGAAAGTACCCAGTCATGGAACTGAGCCACTCAGTGGCTGGACTGCCAGTTGGGCCAAAAACTACAGAAACCACATTTAGGACATGGTGGAGGAATGGATTGCATTGAAATAAATACTTTCAGAGTTTCTTTTTTTCTAAGTAAATATTTTCACTGGAGGAAAACCTCAGTTTGGCAAACATACAAATGGTTCCATACAAGATTTTCCAAATGGATGTGTGCATTTTTCTCAAATCTCCCAAACCTGATACTGTAGATTGAGGGGCCAGACCACCTTTTGTTTCATGTTTCACAAACCCTGCAGTCCCTCACCACAGCTCCCTATTTCAAGGCTGTCGCTGAATAGCCAGTAAACCATTTCCTGAAGCTCCGAGGTCACTGGATAAATAATGTTTTCATTTGACAACCCCAGGTCGCCACTAAAGGAGGGTCTTCAGAGGGAGCCTTTTGAAATTACAGTACTGATGAAGCGTGAGAAATTACAGGCACTTAGAAGCGATTTCATGAGCACAGGAGAGCAGGGGGACCACCCCTATGCAGCTCCAGTGAGAGGGGGTGATAGCAGTGAGTACACAAATACACAAACACACAAAGGCTAACACAGTACACACACACACACACACACACACACACACAGAATCACAGACGTATCAGCTCTATAACAGGATCTCCATCCAGGGATCCTTAAATGCGTAGGATGTGAACAGGACTGTTTGTATCTGTGTCTGGTAATAAAACTGACCTTACAGTTGAACATACAACAGGATTAAATGAAAACCATATTCAGCAGCCAGCCATTGTTTTTTTCACTGCTTGAGTTATCCTAATGGAGATCGGCTGAGACGGGCAATGCCCGAGGGCTACTGGTCCCTCTCCACCCTTCCTGGGAATGGGCTTTTGGTCAGGATGGGTTTGGAAGGAAGCCTCCGATTCCTGCCTGTCCCTCTGCTAAGTCAGAGTTATGTAGAGCTGGTTTGGACCTGAGCCTCAACAATGATCTATCCCTGGAGCAGCTGAAGTGGAATCATTTTCATTGTGGTCTACTCCTCTCCACTTCCCAGCCAGGGCTCCCTCTCTTTGTGT